CTGCCCCACCGGCGCGGTGAGCGCCGCAGCCCCTCTCGTGTCGGCCCTCTCGGTGCCTGAGGTCCGTACGTGGGGCAGAGCTGCCATCCTTGGGAGCCTTCCTCCTCCTCCTCCTCCTGCTGCTGTGGGGACGTGCTGGGAGGTGAGGTCAGGAGGGTGCTGTAACGCGCATGATCTCTGCTCCCACAGCTGAGGTGGCTTCTGTTGCCCTCTGCTCCCATGTTGCTCCGTCTTGTCCCCGCAGGGCTGTAATGTCATGGAAGACCAGGACCTTCGGGACATCGGGATCGGTGACCCACAGCACCGTCGGAAGCTCCTCCAGGCTGCTCGCTCCCTCCCGAAGGTCAGCACTGACGCCCCTCGCGTGAGGCAGGGACGGGGCCTTGCCCAGCACGGCTGTGGAAGCAGAGGAAACCAAAGCCAGTCCCTCTGACCCCAGCTACATCCCTGTGACCCGTGGAGGGATCGTGGGGGCTGTGGGAAGGGTTTTGAGAATAGCAGGGATGAGGAAGAATGTATTAGTCCACCAGGCTATGTGGATGGGATGACTCTGTGCTGGGGAAAGGATGGCTGTCCCTCCTGCCAGTCTTGATCCCAAGTGTATTCCCTCTTATAGAGTGATTTTTTTTTTTATTTTTTTTTTTTACTTTAAAGCTGCTAGTGGAGATGATAATGGCCTTTACACTGATTCTGATTGATGCTGCATGCCTTGGGATCCCAGCACCCCGGGGCTTAACCCCCTTTCTTGTGCTTTTACAGTTGAAACCCCTGGGCTGTGATGGGAACAGCCAGCCTTCGGTTCCCGCATGGCTCGACTCTTTGGGGCTGCAGGATTACATTCAGTCCTTCCTCTCGAGCGGCTACAGCTCTATTGACACTGTGAAAAACCTCTGGGAGCTGGAAATAGTAAATGTGAGTCTTGCTTTTCTCTTGCCACGGCAGTGAGGTCCTGCCTGTGTTCCCTCAGGGGCTGTGACTTGCAGGGAGTCGTGTTAAACGGGAACAGCGCTGCTCGAGGAGGGGAAGCGTTGCTTCATGCCAAGGGCAGGAAAGCCTACAGTCACTGTGGTCTCTCCCTGCAGGTGTTGAAAGTGAATCTGCTCGGCCATCGAAAGAGGATCATCGCCTCCCTGGCAGACAGACCGTACGAGGAGCCACCGGCAAAGCCGCCGCGGTTCTCACAGCTGAGAGTGAGTCACTGGTTGTGTTCCCTGCCTGGCTGGTATGTCTGTGCGGAGCGTGCTCAGCAGTGGACGGGGTGCTTTCTTCTCCTCTGGCTCTCCTTCACTTTCCTCCCTTTCTTTCAAAGAACTAAACCCGGGTCGGTCAGGAATAATTGTCCCCTTTCTGATTAGCTGCTATCACCTGGGGGACTCGGAGATCTGTGGAGGATGTTTACGGGGAGCTCAGGTCCTGGATGGGTATCCAGGCTCAGAGGAGGCGGCACGTTCAGCCTTACTCTGCTGCTTTCATGCACAGGAAATTCTGCCTAGCAAAATCAATAAAAAATGGAAAAAAAAAAAAAACAAATCTAAAATGTCAATATTTAAGTTAAAACTCCTTTGAAAGCAAGTATGAGAGTAATAATCATAGAGAGTGATCTTTGAAAATTGCATTGCTTTTTAAAAAAAGGAAAGGGTAAAACCTAAAGGGCTTGTTTCTTATTAAAACAAATCGATTTGACCTGGAAACTTGGGTTACTCCCGGTTCTTAGATACTTGGTGGTTTGGGAAGAAAGTTCTTGAAGCACTGAGGCAACTGCACATCTGGCTGTGCGGAGGAGGGAGGGAATTGTTAAACAATTCCCATGGATGCACCTTGGCTGCTGCTAGAGATGATGCAGAGCCCAGTACTCCCACTCCGAGCATGGTCAAGCAGAACTTGGGAAACAGCCAGGCTGGCTCTGACTTGGCCGGAGCACCTGGAGCACTTGGGCAGAGGAAAAACAAATTCCAAATTTGACATTGTGCTGTACAAATTTGGCTATGGCTGAGCCCCACAACAGCAAACGTCACCGTTTGTTTGGACAGACGCGCTCTAGCTGAAGCGGCGGAAGAGTTTACCAACTCTTAGCTTGCTGCTTTGTGGGTTGAACTCCATCTTCCCTGTGCCAAACAAAGCTGAAGTGCACGAACCCATCAGCGCCGGGAGAAATCGTTAACGTGTCCAGTCGTATCCGTTCAGCTTTTCACCTTAATCGACTCCAGCGACCCAAGCAGCAAGTGCCCGCATGGGCACGACCCTGCTATCGAAATGAGTGGGGGAAGATAATATTCAGCTCTTGCAGGTCAAATTCTGGATGCCTGCCCCATCAGGCAGCTCCTTGGGATCAGGTGCCTCCACGCAAGGTGGGTGCCTGCACCGAAGGGGTAGCAGGGTGCTACTCCCACCTCTGCTCTGCGCCGAAGGGGAATGCTGAGCTGACTCTCTTCCCCTCGTTTCCTGGCCAGATGGAAGGCAGCCTTCCCACAGGCAGGAGTGTGACATGGCTCAGCTGGTGAGATGGGATGCAGCTGGGACCTGCTGTTTTGATTGTGCCGGTCGGGAGTCTGAGGTCTGTCTCCCTGGGCTGGCTGGGCTTCTCTAGAGCTCTTGCTCTCGCTGCCAAATAGCACTCGATGTGATTTGTGGATGTTGATTTTTTTTTTTTTTTTCTGCGGGAGTGGCAGCCTTTGGATGTCAAGCCCTTCGTTATCGGGGTTGGCTGGGAGGGGAGCTGTCGTCTTCGCTGTTCTTCCTGAAAACCGACATTTGAGAGTTGAGTTTGGCAAAACACGTTGAGCTTGCAGCTAACCTGTGAGCTCCGCAGCAGGGCGGCATGCTGCGGAGGGCGAGCGTGTCATGCTGCTTCCTCTCGGTGTTTGTAAATCAGCTTCCTGGAGCGGGAGTTGGGAGTGATTGGAGTTTCCCCATGCCAAACATCTGGTCCTTGCCCTGCGCAGAGCTCTTCCCTCTTGCCTTGGATTCCCAAGGCTTTTCAACCAAAACAGTCTTAGCTGAAGTGAGCTGGGCTGCTGTGCCCTGCTTGCTCGCACTGGATTTTTTAGGAACTGGTGTTCAGGTGTTAAAAGAAGAGAGGGTTCACGCCGGTACCGCACCGGGAGCGTGTCCTCGGGAGCCGGGAAGGTGCCACATACAAACCCTGCACCTTCGCCCCGCTGCTCAGCTGCCCCCTTTCAGACAACCCAGGCGGGCTGAGGATCTGCGCTCCTCTGAAACATCCTCTTGAGACCGATGAGGCTGAAGGCAAGGTTGTTGGGGTGGGGGGAGAGAGGAGTCCTTTGGTGCAGCATCAACTGATTGATATGCTGGACGGGGAGGCTGTGTAAGAGAATGGGCCATTTGCAGCATTTCCTGGTGCTCCAGCTGGTGCGATCCAGCGCCTGGCTCCGGCGCGGGGAGCGGAAGGACGTCAATGGCAAATTAAGCAAGTCCGTTGAATAGGACTAATGCGTGTTGCAGCTGTGAGCTTCCTGCATTGTCTGCTGGGCCGGTTGGCACGTACAGGCAGCGACTCTTGCCTGCGGTAGGAGCCAGGCTGTCGGGCATCTGGGCTGATCTCTCGCTGGGCTCCCAGGGCCTCTCTCCTGGGGTGGCTGATCACCAGCGGCTTTGGGTGCTTCGCTTAGTGCTTTAGCAGAGCCTGTTCCTCTGTAAACACCCTGCCCGCAGCTCAGCACGTCTCCTGCCCTCCTGGGATGAGCTCACGAGAGGCAGAGGTGTGCTCGGCGGAAAGGGCTGCCTGAAACAGTCCTGGAGCAAAGCAGGGCACGTGGAAAATCGTGGAAAATAAAAGGTATGATTGATGATAGTGAGGCGGGAGCTGACCCCGTTAGCTCTGCTCATTGCACCCTTTGTGTTGGACGCTGTAAAGGGGAGCGAGGGGTGGGCATGGCTGCGGCACAGGCTGACCGGGACGATTCGTGGTGTCTGCTTCTTTCAGTGCCAGGACTTGATGTCCCAGACGTCGTCGCCCCTGAGCCAGAACGACTCCTGCACGGGCAGATCTGCCGATCTCCTGCTGCCCTCCGGGGACACTGGGAAGAGGCAACATGACCGTGGCACCGAGATTGCTCCCTACTCCAGAGCTGAGCGCTACAAAGCACAGGTCAGTGGGTGCTTTTGTGTGTCCTGGGGCCCTTTCTGCTCAGTTCAGTGCAGACTCCCCCTTCTCTGGAGCCAACGAGGAGCTGGGACAATGCATGGAGAGCTGGAGAGCTGGTCAGGCACAGCTCCCCTCAAGCAGTTGAGCCAGCAGCTCGTTTATGCCTCCATCTCACCTTGAAAATGGGTGGCTCTCACTTCCATGGGTGCTGGCACCTTCACTGGCAGCGTGCTGCCTCCTCCCAGCCCCTGTGGGATTTGGCCATTGCGAACCTCAATTGCATTGACCCAAAGAGCCCTCCTGGGATCTGTGTTTCAATCCAGATTGGCCCTGTTGTGGCTTCACATCCATGTTTTTTCCTTTCCAGGAGGACCGTCGGGAGTCAAAGCTGACCCTGCGCCCCCCGAGTCTGGCTGCCCCATATGCCCCAGTCCAAAACTGGCAGCACCAGCCGGAGAAGCTCATCTTCGAGTCGTGCGGGTACGAGGCCAACGTAAGTGTCTCTTGGCTTGTGGGCTGGCGAGGATGAGGAGGCTCTGGGGTCAGGTTGTTGTGTGTGGAGTTGTGACACTTTCTTCCCCTCCCTGGGTGACCTGTCCCTCCCCAGCCCCGGCTGCTGGCCGCTGGCAGGGCTGTGGCATTGCCTTGGGATTGGCAGGTTTCCTGCCTGAAGCCTTTAGGATGTTCGGGAGCACGTTAACATCTCCCCCTCTTCCAAACAGTACTTGGGCTCCATGTTGATCAAAGACCTTCGAGGGACAGAGTCTACACAGGACGCCTGTGCCAAGATGAGGGTACGGAGGCCGCGGGGGCAGGGGGGATTCACCCACACCCAGTGGTGGATGATGTGGAGAGGGGAACGGGGGGATCTCGGTGAAGCTGTGGTTCCCCAAACCCTGCAGGCTGCCCCTGTGCAGAGCTGCACAATGCAGGACTGCCCCTCCCCAGCACGTTCCCCCATAGCTGGAAGGCCCGTGCGGTGGGTGTTCTCGCTGGGGAAAGGGGTGCTGGCTTCGCTTTGGGTACATGTCCCTTCCCCTCTGCTTCCACCAAGAGCAGGCTTTCCTCCTCCTGGTCCCAGACCCCCAAGGCTTGCCGTTGTGGAGCAGTGCCATGGGGTCTCTGGGGTGGGCTGGGGAGGAAGGGAGCATTTATTCACAACTGGTCACTTGAATGTTCTTGTTTCTGAAGAAATCCACAGAGCATATGAAGAAGATCCCGACCATAATACTGTCCATCACGTACAAGGGGGTGAAGTTCATCGATGCCTCTAACAAGGTGAGCTTCAAATGCCTCGAAACTGGTGTCTGGAGGGACAAGACCCGCAGTCCCACCTGCCTGGGGGGCTGCAGGTCATATCTAGTGGCTCCCGAAACCCCAGACGCTCCTGC